GGGCGCCGAAGCGCTCGGTGACCGATGGCCGGCCGCGGAGGGAGGATGGCGCTCGCGGCGCTGCGTTTGGTGCCGTTGCTCCTGGTCTGGTGGGACTCGGCAGGTAATGCTCCCCATTCGGCCGGCGGCCCTAGGACCGGCCGGCCAAGGAGCAACCAAAAGGGGGATCTCGCCGCAGCTGCCGCTCCCCGGAACCGGGCCTTGGCGTCGTTCGGCCGCACCCGTTACTGGCGGTTCCGGGCCGGCCCTGCGGTCCTCGAGGGACTCGAAGTTGGGAGTGTGCAGGGATGGCATTGTGCAGCCAGCAGCCCTCTTTAATTCTTGCTTGGGCTTCGTTCCCAGCATCTTCTTAGTGACACCTTGCTGTCTGCTCATTCTCCCTTCAAGCGGATTTTCTGGAGCCCAAGATCCGGAGTTGGGTGTTTATGGACCCAGGAGCCATACAGACCTCGGCAGGAGATGTACAGGAATCAGGAACTGTGAATGCTAAGCGTGCCAGGCACTCTGGGGCTCATGAAAAAGGGGCTTTTTAGTCCAGCCAGACTTGCCACCCATGTAAACTGGAGTTAAAATGTTAACACCTAATGTTAAGTTTCATGTTTATCACTCTGAGCCACAGAGGAAAAGAATATCGTGAATTAAGAGTTACTTCTCTGATTTTTGTTCCGCAGCTGTAAAGTCCTTCCCCAAGTAATCCTATTAGGGTGGTCAGTTACGGAACCAGTACCAAATGATTTCTGTGTGCCTGCTAGGAGGGGTGTCAGAACACAACTGAATATCCTTTTTTGGAGGGGGTGGGGAGGCTGGCTTGAAAGAAGCTTGGTATCTGAGGGAAAGGGAGAAGGTGTGGCCTGTATAAATCACCAGCCGGATTTTTAAAATTCCTTATGAACAAGAATTAACTTTAATCTCATCCTTTAAAATGTCTGTTTCCTTCTTGCAGCCTCTTTGAACGCTCAGTTTGGTGAAACTTCAGAATACAGAACGGTAAGTACGAAACCACTTGTATTGTTTCTACTAATACAGTGAAGCCCACAGTAGTTTGGGCTGGAGGCTGGTTTTCAGGTCTGACCTGCCACTTTTGAAACCACTGAGTGCTTCTCTAGCAACCAGATTCGCAGGCAGGGCTTTGGACACAGATCACAACGTAAATTTTGGTTGAAAATTAGGTCAGGCCTTGAAGGCCCTAGGGCTTTGTTTCCTTCAATATTTCCTTTAATGATTCAGAAGGTCCTAGGCCTAAAGATTATACTTTGTACTAGATATATATTATCAAATTAAATTCTGTGGAACTAAAGGAAGACCAACCAAATGAGAACAAGCAAAAGCTAGTTATAGAGCTAGATGGAACTAGTGAGTCAGCCAAGCCACCTGCATTTTGGCTGAGATTCAAAGGCAGAGGAGCGGGAAAGCTTTACAATGGGGAAAAGGGAAGACTTCAGGTGTGCCCTGATTGAGGCTGTTGGCATGGGGAAGCTGTAGGTTGGTTAACTAGACGCAGGCGTGCTATGTGGTTGGTTGGGAGTGCGTATTTGGTTTTCTCTGATTGGTTGGAAGTTGGAAGCGGGGACAAAATTTAGGGAAGCTAATAGTTATTACTCAAGCCCTGGCCATTTTGGGCTGATTGTTACAGAGGTTATTGTGTGGCTTCCTGGACTTCACTTGAGGTAGCCATCTGACTCCTGCCACGTCTGACTTACAGCAGGTGGCTTCCTGGGCTGGGCATTCTAAATAATGAGTTGGTTTCCTGGGTGGGCTGCTGCAGGTTGTGGGTCAGAGTTCTATTTAAATATCTGGTCTGGCACTGTTCATTTTATATTCAGTCTCTCAATTCTCACAATGACCTTGTAAGATAGACAGATACTATTATTTTACCTGTAAGGATTTGACCTCAGTGGGTTAGGTAACTTTGAATATTCAATTCAGTGTAGACCTTTTCCAGGAAGCCTTCCCATTCTGTTTTCTTCCTCCAAAGCAGACATAAACACATTTTCTCTGTGCTTCCATTCAACTTATATGGCATCATCAGAATCACCATGTTAGTGTAGGGGAGGAAAAAATCTTTCCTCTACCTTTCTAAGCTCTCAGCTGGGCATGCATAACATAGGACAGATTAACAAGAGAAAAACAAACAGCCATTTATTAACAAGTGCTTGGTGCATACATAGGGGAGCACTCAGAGATGAGTAACTCAAAGAGGTGGCTTAGAATTCTGGCTAATATAGCATCTTTAACAAAG